GAAAACCTTTAAGTTCTTGGTCACTTCGGTGGTCCGGTCTCGATGAATGGGCACATGTCATGCTCACGCTGAACGGCGAATGGAACAGATTTGCAATTATCTTTCTGGCCGGTATGGCGTCGAAGTGGGGCTGTGAATGGGAAATGTCTCAAAATAGAAACGATACAGTAACTGTGTGACCCGGTTTGCCGCGGTTTTCCGTCATTCCTCGCTGGCTCGCCGTGTAAAAAGGCCGGCTAGTGATGCGAAAAATATATTTGCTTAATTTAATTAACAGAATTAACTTTTCTGGCCATTTCATTTGGCCAGACGAAAAATGGGGCAGGACTGAAAGCGGACGGTGGGATGTGTCAGTTGGACTGTGTCTCGGTACAATCGTCGGTCTGCCACACCGACCCGATTGCGCGCGGGTATGCGATGAGGTGATGGAGCAGTGCTGACGTGGAGACAAGCTGGGCGCGATCCGCTTCTCGCGCTCTGGCAGAGACTGGTAGCGACGGATTGAATTGTCGCATGCATACACACACAAACACACATTCTCAGACGTACCAAGTGCACTGTCTGATGCTGGGAATTGTGACAACTACTGTGGTAGACAACTTCGGACTTGCTGCGTTTTCTTAAGTCGCCCTGACAACAAGACCAGGTTGCCACAACCAGGTCAACCCAATAGTATACATCGAAAGGAGACTGACCCTACCAGAGGCCACAACTTCTTGGTCTTCATATGCTCATTTTGTAAAAGTGGGTTGACCTCGTTGTCGCAACTTGGTCTTATTGTCATGGGGACTATGTAGAACGCACCTTATCCGAAGTCGTCTGCCGTAGTAGTTGTCATGATTCCCAGCATCTGACAGTGGACTTGGTACATTCGCCGGCAGCATCAGTCAGTTCTGCCGTTTACCGCGCACAGTGACGAGCTCGTCAAAGAGACAAGTGAAGTCACTCTCTCGACAACCGTTCTGATAAAAACGGTAATATTATCACTCCTATTTCTGTAATTGTCTATCTATCTACTCTTCACCCTGTTATACCACGTTTGAGAATCTACTAAATTCTCCGTCTGATGCTGTGAATCATGACAACTAAAATGGCAGATGACTTCGGACTAGGTTGGTTCTACATAGTCGCCCTGACAACAAGACAAAGTTGCTACAACGAGGTCAACCCACTTCTATACATCGAAAGGAGACCTCGACCATACCAGAAGCCACAATTTCTTGGTCTTCATATCCTCATTTTGTAAGTTCCGAAAGTCTCTGGTCTTACAATTGTGGTCTAGAAGTCGATTGATGGGCTTCTTTCATTGGACAATTTAGCTGTTTTGTAATGATGGTATATTTTTATTGAATAACTTTCACGTATTCTCGTCTCTTTCTGCAATTGGACGCTTTCAACCTGATCCTTGTCTCGGCTCGCTTTCAGTTCGCAACCCTTTCGCTCGACGATCGCTCTCTCTCAACGGATCAGGCAAGCCATTTTTAGCACACACTTTCTTTTTCTCTCTCTCATGAAGCTAAAATGTTCATCAACACAACCAAACATGCGTCCGACATTGGGCAATCGGAGAATTGGATAAAATATGTAGAGGCGATGATGGTGGTCATCAAACCTTGATGACCAAAAATGGGCAATATTTGTTCTAGAAGTGGGTTGACCTCGTTTTCGCAACTTGGTCTTGTTGTCAAGGCGACTTAGGAGAACGCAACAAGTCCTAATTTGTCATAATTCCCAGCACTTGGTACGTTTGTGAATATACCAGACAACTACTCTGGCAGACGACTTCGGACTTGTTGCGTTCTCCTAAGTCGCCTTGACAACAAGACCAAGTTGCGAAAACGAGGTCAACCCACTTCTAGAACAAATATTGCCCATTTTTGGTCATCAAGGTTTGATGACCACCATCATCGCCTCTACATATTTTATCCAATTCTCCGATTGCCCAATGTCGGACGCATGTTTGGTTGTGTTGATGAACATTTTTGCCTCATGCAAGAGAGAGAGAGTGTGTGTGTGTGGGCTAAAAAGAGTTTGTCTGATCCGTTGAGAGAGCGGGGCGTCATGAAGAGAGCGCTCGTTGAGCGTCCATCTGCAGAAAGAG